AGTTCAGATCGATACGTGTCCTATGCTATACATGAGATGGGTGATTCATCTCAAGAACGTTTACCATCATTTCCAGTTGCAGCTGACATTCCTGTTTATCAAGCAGATAAGAAAATCTCGGACGAAAGCAAAGATCAGCATGTCTTATCCGAACAAATCGTTAATAACAATCAAGGACCAGCAAAAGATGATGACTTAACTGAATTAGATGCAACCGAAAATCTGACATCTTATTCAGAAGATGTTCATAAACACAAACACCATACTCGGCATTCTTCAAATCAACAGCAAAAATCTGATGCTAGTAGTACCGATGAAGACGTGGATGACGAAAATTTCAGTGAATTAGAGCAATCAGATATCTCGAATCTATATCGTATCATCGATGAAATAACAGGACATGGGAAACATGAGTCAACTTATCGACGTTATGATCTTTCGAATAGTAGTTCAGTGTCAACTAAACCGCAAACAGATGATATATATATTATACCAGGTTATCCAGGTTTATGGAAGCCATCAGCTGACGATGATGAAAGTATTCATTCAGGATTTACTAATGATGCTGATGATGAAGATGAAAAACATCAATCTGCAAGTGCTATTAAAACAAAAGTAAATGCTTGAAGAAGAAAACATGTCAAATTACACGTTTGATTGACATGTTTTCTTCGAAGTTGATGTTTAGACTAGAATTTGGTTGTTCTATTAGTTTTGAAAGAAAACACCTGAGATTAGAAAGACATTCATGACCTTTTTCTTATCAAAATATGTGTTTAGCAGAGTTCGCCAAATATTTCTTTTAAATAATTTCTATAGATCTATAACTAAAATGTTTACAAAAATCATGTGTTAAAACAATAACGATAATCATTCGCTACTGTTCAGTTATTCTCTACATAGATCGACCTTCGCTGAAAACAAATTTATTACATATGCTAATAACATTTTCTTATCGTTCATGTATATGTCACTGAAATGTTAAAAAGTGAAAGAGAAAATCGAAGAGTAAATCATTTGCTTGTTTGTCTAGGATACTGTTCGCACAACGAACCCAACACAACTTCAAGCATCTGTACAACAACGTCTAAAAACTACAAGTCCTGATCCCTCGTCTCAATCAGAAACAGTCGATGTTTTCAATCGACCGTTAAACGAATTCTCCTTCGATGTGTCCGAAACAGATAGTTTCAAAACTTGCGCATCCACAATAAATTCATCGTCAGTATCGAAACAAACGAAAACATCTGACCTCCATCAAGTACCCATATCTGAACAGCAAGAACATCAAACGAGCCCTGACGAAAAAATTCTTCTCATTCGCGAACGTGAACGTGGTGTTTCATTGCCAGTTACTATGAAAATCGATTACGATGATATGGCCCTACGTTTATCTACATCTACACCAATCGATACTTCGCTTTACCCACCGCCAACACAAGCCGATCTCCCATCATCAGCATCCGCACTGGGTGAACCAATGCTGAAAACAACATCGGGCAGCCGTGGAAGTACTCCATCGTTAAGTAGCAATGAAAGTGAGCAACAAAAACTTCCATCGTCAACATCAACATCTTGGTTAAATACCATTAACACAATTACAACAACTATTCAAGGACCCGATGGACGTAAGTAATAAAAAAATTGTTGTCAATAGGCGTGAAAAATAAAACGACAATCAATGTCGTCAATGAAATGTTAATGTGTTTGCACTTATAAATAGACAAAGATCATATGTCTTTGGGATTTTTTTTTGTTACTCTAATCAAGCCTTCCTACTCCGCTCGATGCTGTTTGCCTGTTAATGTATGTAACATTCGATCTGAAGTGGTATAGTTACCATTGCTGCATGTGTAGATACTTGAACCATATCAATGTGCTGAACACGTTTGTTTTAACAAGCGTGCTCTTTTTCTTCTTTCTCCTACGATTTTCGTCTGTTCGTTATTCGTTTTTCTCTTCAAGTAGTTGCGATTACTTGTGCATACAAACTTGATGCGATACGATGTGATCGCGCTATTTATAAAATATATGTACANATTAGATTCTCTCCAGCTGCTGCACAGAATGCAAATCAGACTGATTTGGTTTCTTTTCTTTTAGGATCGCGCTTCGTTAACAAGGAAAACATTATTCTCCTGATATGCGAACCTGATTCTTATTGTTTTCCTTTGGTTGTTTTTCTGTATCTATTCTTCTAACTTTTTAATGTAATATTACACGAATACGGACGTTTTTCTTTTTCTTCTAAAATAATCTTCTAATCACCTTTACACACACACTTTCCATATGCACGAGAACAGCAAAACAACAACAATAAACATGCAAAACGATAGTTTCTAGTGAATTTTTTTCTTTTTTTTTATTATCAATTATACAAAAATCCCCGATTTCTATCATGTGTACGCTTTGTTTTTCAACACTTTTTTTCTTCCAAAATAGTTTTCTTATGCAGTAATATTTTCATTATTGCTATATATCAATTAACTGCATTAATGTTTCTCTCTTCGTCTTCCTCGTTAACATCATCGTCAAGTTCGTTGACGTCTTCATTTTCAATATACAATCGCGGATAGTTAAACAGTAGTGACAAGATGCCGGTGAAAACGAATACGAGCATAAAAATCATCATTACACGCGGTCCCCAATGCTTGTAGAGAAAGCCGACAGTAATGGGACCGAAAGCACGTGCTAACGAGCCAGCACTTGTGAATATACCCATCATGGTACCTTGAGGACGATCACCCAGTTTCTTCGAAAAGATTGAATAGCATATCACATTACAAATTGAAAAACCGATGGTAATGATGACTGATGCCATGATATATTGCCATAGTTGTACACGTGGAGTGTAATAACACCATTGATAATCAAGGGGACAACCTTTTTCTTCGGGATCAACTGTAGTTGTCGGTGAAAGCGGTGTGGATGAATTCGACGGTGCCTCGGTAGTCGTCGTTGAAAATGGAAGTGCTGAAAATCGAGAAAGATTTGTATGGAAGTAAAAACAACAGAATGAGAGTTATTTACTAGCTATTTGAATACTTGGATAATCAGAACCCCATGGTAAGAAGACGAAATAACCAAGAAAACAGATCACTAAACCTATTAGCATTAACATACGATCTTGAAGTCTATTTTGAAAGAGCAAATGTCAAATTGAATAGTATTCAGACGATGTTACCGTTTCGCTAGTATTTTTGTTACGATTAAAACGACTACCGACATACAACCAAGTGCACCAAGTAGATAACCATTATCCCTTGTACTCTGCTCTTTAGTCCAAGCGTACATATCGATTGAAAGGGGTGAAGCAATTCTAAACAAAGGAAACACAATCGTTTATTTTCGACTGGAAAGAAAATTCATACGTTTCATAATTTGTAAATGTCAAATACGCGATAAAAAACATGTAGAGACAACATACAATAGCCTTGGTTTCATCACGGTGTTCATTTTTATCTGCTTTTGACAATGCTAAACAAAGAGATACAGTTCAAATTTGTCTCGTGAGAAATGATTTCAATATAATTACGTTTATTTGATATGCCGTTGCTAATACTCTTTCTTGATGGTACGACAATTCGTGCATCGTCGAATGCCACTAAGAATAACACAAGATTAATACCACCGGTTAGCATGCTGAAAAAAGCGGGAGCCGTATAGATATTAAAATAGAGCTTTGAAGATGAAACAAATAAAACGAATAAATATATATTGACCCAAAGTGCAAACCAAGATATCTTACCCAAGGTTTGTGAATAGGACCCGGATAGCCCAGAAAAGCAAAGAGAGCTTGAATAACTAGAGTAGTAATTGATTTCTATGTGTGATGATTCAATTACAATATTGAAAGACTTACGAGGCCCAAGAATGAAACCAACACCTTGATATGCTGATAGATTGGCCATAACTGCTGTTCGTTCTTTCAGTGTTGTAGCTGCTGAAGAGTACGATCTCATAATCGTTGAATTTGCTAGAATTGGTAACAAACAGAAGAAAGCTATTCTCTAAACTTCAAAGATGTCGATAACAACCTGCACCGACTCCCATAATAAAACGAGAAAGCATCAGCCACCATTTGTTCGAGACTCCAAAGTTATTTATACTTTGAACATATCCGTAGAGCAGATTCGCGACAACAATCAATGCTGTGCTAACAACTAAAGGCATTTTATTATTATCCGTTCGATTTGCAACATAACCAATGATCGGTGATGCGATTAATTGTCCAATAGAAAAGGATGCAACAAGCCATCCGAGAAAAGTAGCCTCGGCAGAAGTATCAATCTAAGTAATGGATCAATTTAGCGACAAATATTCGAATAAAGAAATCTTTTCCTTAATCCCGTACAATTTGTAGGAAAGGCCATAGTGATGAAACAGTGATGCTAAACACAATTGAACTGACAAACATACCAAAATAACATATACGGATAGCACGAAAACGTTCTTTCTTCGTGGCTTCATTAGCGGATGTTGATGAACGACGACGTATACTAGATTATAATCATATATTCAAACAAAGACATGCTAGGAAACGTCTAGGAAAAGTTCATACGATTCTGATCGAGATGAATTGGATGATTCATTGTTGCGATTAGGCAACAATGCTGAGCGTTCATTTGTCTGTGAATCTCCGTTTGCCATCATGAGTTTGGTTAGATGATACCTCTGGTTTTATTCTGTCTACAAGTTTCGAAACAAAACGCACTCGAAAAGTGTTATAAAACAGAATAAATTCTTTCATCAAAATAAAACAAAATGCGTCGATAATCGAGTTCTTGATATTGTTATCTGTATCTTCATTCTTTTTTTTGCTCTATCTTTTGTGCGTTATCAAAGTTCACATGTTTCAAATTCGAAAGGTAAAGTAAAAGAGATTGCGATCTAAACTAAATGATGTCACTTTATCCTAACGAAATATTTTGATACTTCTCATTCAAAAACAAAAACACACTCGAAAAGAAATTACAATCCGACGAAGAAAAATAAAATTCTCAAACATTAGATATCTTTTGTAAATAACACGATACATCAGTGAGATTCGTACGAGGAATTTGTTGACGAAAATATTGAGGAATTGTACCTGAACTGCTCCCCGTAGAATCGTTTGATTGTCGACGCTGCAGGAGTGGAAGTGTACTAGGCGCTGCTTGATTTGATTTGTAATTTCGATCGATATTCTTTTCGACCACATGATATTGGATATTTGGAGCTGTCGATCGACGTTCCTTCGAGTTTGGTATCGGTTCATTTGATAAATGCAATTTAACACCAATAGTCACAAATAAACTATGCAACTCATGACGAAATGCTTTGCCAGTGATCGCATAGAGAAAGAAATTCACCTGAAATCCAAACAAAGTCAACGTCATGATTCAAGAAGAAGAAGAAGAAGAACCTAACTTACACAATGATTTGAATATTGTAATGTCTCACACAAGGGCTTCAGGTATGCTTGTGCAAACATTTGTTTATACTGATTATTCTTATGTATGTTGATATAGATTTGTAAACAAACCATAGGACATGAACTTAATAAAAAGAAGACAGTTACAGCTAAGAGCATTGTTGTCAATTTCCTCGAGATAGATAATTTATTTTTTTGGCGTGTTAGTTGAGATTGACAGATTTGTAGAGTTGTTGTTGAACGTCGTGCTTGAAATAAACTATGAACAATAATTAAATTCATCGTTAATAATAATATAAAAGGCAAAATAGAATAGACAGCTGCATCGATCCATGGCCAAATATGACGACTAAAAAATTCATAACGTTCATGATACGTACAATCATTTTCTGGTGATAAATGATGTGAGAAAAGAAAATGAATATTAATCCATATACAGCATACAACAAGAATAGTTACACACTTGCGTGCTCGCTGTACAGTACAGATCGAACTGGCGTGTAACGGACGTGTCACAGCTATGCAACGGTCTGCTGACATCATGCAGACAATCCAAACACTGACATCTGAGACAGTATAGAACAGAAGTGAAATAAATTTACACACATAAGTCGATTGTAATAATAATGACCATTTACGATTAAGTAAATATAACCACATAACAGATAAACCGAGAAATAGAACACTCGTATCAGCAACAGCTAAAATACCCATGTAATAACATGTGGAAAGATGAGACATGCGACGACGTTGCATGATGACGAAAATTAATGAATTACATATGATACCTGTTATGACCATACAAGGGAAAATAACAAAGAAAATCTGTCCAGGTAACGTAGCCGATGGTAATGGATCTGTAATTTCATATAATCCAATTGTCAGATTCATATTCGAGCCATGAAAAGATTCCTGGGAACTGCTCATCGAACATAATATAACTCATGCATAAACTAGAAAACATCAAAACAAAAACACTTGCTAAATTATAGCTGTGAACCGTAGAAAACAAAGTGCCGAAGAGTAGAGCATTTTTTAGGAAACGAAGAACGAAGAAGAGGTCAAAGCTTCTGTGTTAGGGAGAAAAGAACTGCCGAAATCAGGAAGAAATAATTACATGAATGAATCAACTGACAGCAATGCTTCGTCTTCGAAACAATCTGAGATCAAAATATGAATTAGAGAAGAAAAAAAGAAATGACACTTAATACAAACTTATGTCATTTATAAGAACATGTTTCTCTCCCCCTGTCTCGCAGTCCTTCCTCTTCTCATCCTCTTGTTTTTTTTTTGTCTTCGATCAAAGAAAGACAATTTTGTCGACATCTCCATGTATGTCCTCGTTTTTCATTGCAGCGATGACGATGAAATTCTCTTTTTTTGGTACCATATATAATCGACGAAACGAATCTATACCTGTTATTTATATTTTGTCCTTCCTAAATACAATAATCATACTTGTCAAAGTAAAAACAAAAGAAAGAAGAAGACGAAGACTTCTAATCGTTCGACAACAAGCTGAAGTTTGCCTTATCTAATTATCGATCTTGCTCGTCTCCATTTCTCTTTTCTTTCGAAATCATTTTTCAAATCAGTGCATTTATCGGAAGATTTCTGTTTCTTTTCATATAAAAAAAGTCTCACTCATTTTTCCGAATCTCGACTCTATTATGTTTGAACGCCGAAGAGAACAGAAACAAAAGGAAGAGATACTGGAAGAAGACCAACACATAACCATTCTATTATTTATTCCTTCTTGTTTTTTTTTTGCTTCTTCACTCATCTTTGAAAAATTGCCGTTGATCATCAAAACATGTTCATCCTCTCGTCTGCATCAGACTAAAATTACAAGTTTGTCTTGCTTTACAAGACAAAGAATGGACTATAAATAAGGGAATGAAACAAGATCGTATTCATCCCGAAGAAAAATCGGGGAAGTAGAAGATTATATCTAATGATAAATCTTCTGTTTCAATCTTTTTTCTACATGTTGATGTAGAATAATCATATAGTATCTCAAATAAATAATACTTCTTTCATGCTTAGTGTCTGAATGGATGAAGAGACACTTGGAAGAATCTAGAAAAGGATGAGATTGCCATTTCAATCAACTATGTATCGAACGAGCCTTGTCATATGTATAGTCGGCACGTGTAAAGAAGAGAAAAAAAGAATTTGAAGTGATTTTTATCATCATCATCAACTTCCGCTGTCCGGAAAGAAAGAACAATACGGTACGTTCATGTTTCTTCAATGCGTGCGTGTGTGCAATTTCAAAGAATTTAATTCCAATGATAACTGCCAGGAAAAGTGTGCGGCACTTTTGTTTTCATATTCAAGTAGTCTTCAAATATACAATGATAATAAAGAACGATAAGCTACCTTAATAACTCGACCTTCATATTCGTTCTCTTTCCTCTCTTCAGAGAGCAATTAGATTGTACATAATAGACAGTAGTGTGATTGGTTAATAAGAAGAAGAGAAAGAGAGAGAGAGAGCGAAAGCAAAGAAGAAGAAAAGAGGGAAAAGATGACCCTCGTGCCAACATTAATCAATCTTTTCTGCTTCTGTCAAAGTCGAGCCATGAAACGAGTTAATACGTATGAAAGTGCGGGTGATTCCGAAGACGAATTTATCGAGTATGTTATCATTTTCCTTTTTAGCAAACAAATAGGTATGACGAAAAATAATTGTGACTCGAAAGTGTCGCATATGAACACAAGAGTGACAACTGATGTTGACTGAGGAAAGAGGAAAAGGGAAATAATGTGTCTGTCAATATAAAAGAGAACAATATTTGTCATCTAGAAAAAAGACTTTTGATTTTGTTTTCTCTAGTTCAAGTTTAAGTCCACGAGACTATGAATGTGAAAATGTCACAAGTCGTAAAAAACGACGTGGTGTTATTGAAAAACGTCGACGTGATCGAATTAATCATTGTTTAATGGAACTACGTCGACTGGTACCACAAGCCATATCAAAAGAAGGTTCGACTAAATTAGAAAAAGCAGAAATCTTACAAATGACTGTTGATCATCTTCGGTCATTGCAACATCTCGATCAAGGTACTCATTTCCTATCAATATGACATCACTGGAAATGACCATTTTTTGTTTCAGATTCTAATCAGTCGTATTCATCGTGGCCAATCTTCGATGCTCATGCGAGCGGTTTTCGGGAATGTGTTGATGAAATTTCTCGTTATTTAATCTCAGTTGAAGGCTTTGATATTCAACATCCGCTTCGTCTTCGTCTTTTATCACATTTGGAATGCTTTACTGATCGTAGCACTAGTCCCTCATTGAATTCCTCTTGGCCTGTCGTACATCAGCAAGCACCAAGTGCATTTGCGACACCACCTCTTTCGTCGTATCCAACTCCAACAATCGGATATCATCATCAACACCAACAACAACATTCAACGAATTCAAATTTCAATATGCATCATTATCAACGACCTCCTATTGATTCCTCTTGTCAATTGCCATCATCATCATCTTCGTCATCATGCATTTAATTGATACTTTTCGTCTTGCTTTCTAATACACATCTGATCAATTTTCTCTTACTGTTTATATTTCTTCTTTCTGAAGTTAAAGTGCTATATAAAAATTGCTCACTAGAGATTCATCTTTCTTCTCTTCTCTCTCATTTTAAGTCACTATCAGATCATCATTAGTAGAAACAAAAAAAGATATCATGTATGTTTATAGAGAAATAAATCTAAAATGTGTATGTTTGTATTTTCTTCGCAGCTAATTAGAACAATATGTCTACAGATGGTTTATTATCCATTTATCCAAGAGCACTTATGTGGGATGTATTAAATGAAAAAGATATAATCGGATAGTTGTAGATGAAAAGAACGAGAGATTATATTTGAGTCTAAGAGTAATGAACATTGTCATTTTTCCTTTTTCTTGTCGTTCTTTCAGATGGAATTAGAGTATGTTTTGTTCATTGAAGGCGAATGGGTGCACATTTTGATTATGAGTACACGGCGCCTTTCTACTGACACAAAATCATGTCGAAATCTTTTTCTACTTCATCATTATTACAATATAATGGAACAGAAGACAAGAGAATGATTTGATTCGTTTTGCTCATGAGAATACGACAAAATATGTGGCCTAATTTTTTCCCATTCGAAGATATTTTCATGCGTAGACGCGTGAATAGTTCACATGGTTAAATAGTTAATGAGATGGTGTAGAAGGAAGTCTACTATTTAAGTCTGATGCTATTTTTTATCTGGAATATCAAGCGCAGAAGTTACATGAGTATAATTGTGGGTTAAAAAGAATAAATGGTTGGTGTTAGTTTTGATATCGATGTTATGTTTAGTAGAGAGAAGAAATATGAATTTGATTAGATGTGTTTAGAAGAAAAATCAATTATCATCATATGTGTACATGACATGTTCGGTTGAGTGTGGAAAGTCGGAAATATGTTTTTTTTTATTGTCTTATATTTTGTTGCTTAAAATGTAAAACAAACACTTGAAGCCGGAGCAACAAGATCAGACATAAACGTGTGAAAACGGATAATGATTCGATCAAGAATAACAAAAAACTTGTTTCTTTCGCTTTTCTTTCGTTTCTTGTTGTTTGTTTAGTAACTTCGACCAAACAATGTAAAATATTTCGCTTTGTTTTTACATGCCGGATGACAACATTGTTGATTCTCGGCAAGTTTCTCTGGTTGTTCGAACGGAATACAGAGACCTTTAGCGCCCATAGCTGGTGCACCTTCTTCAACGACAGCATCCCTAGAGAAAAACAAACAGAAGTTGAGTAGATCGTATTTGTCGACATTATTTCGTCATACCGAGCACTATCTTGTTTAATATTATCTTCACATGATGGTTCGCCGCAGAATGGTGTTAACATGATACAAGAATTGTCAAGACCTTTCAAGAAACCAGCCCAATCTTTAACAACTACAATGTGACTATCAAGTTCGGCTTTAGCTCTATGAAAAAAAAAGTGAACATTGAGATAAAAAAAATGTTTTTAGAAATAAAAATTCTGCTCGTACTTAGCGTATAGATCGTTGTGAATTTGTTCGAGGATTTCACGTAGTTTAGTTTCACAGTTCTCAATGGGAATTGTTGATTTCGCTCCTGTATGACGGAGTACTACAGTTAATTGTGAACGAGATTTATCATTTGGACCGAATTCAACACGAATTGGAACGCCTAGAAAATAGAATAAATGAGATATTTATTTTGGATACAAATTAATTTCTCCTCACCTTTCATTTCCCATTGATTAAATTTCCATCCCGGTGCATAATTATCTCGATAATCACCATAAACACGAAGACCGGCTTTTTTCAATTTACCTTCAATTTCTTTCAATGTATTTACCAAAGCATCTTCATCTTCTTTCGATAGTGACGCTGTAATACCACATGGAACGATAACGATCTAAGAAAGGAACGCGAGTTGGACGATCGAATATGATGAGTTCATGTATACCTGATATTTAGCGATGCGTGGCGGTAAAACTAAACCTTTGTTGTCACCATGGGTCATGGTCATCACACCGATGGTTCGTGTTGTCAAGCCCCATGAATTTTGGTACACATATGTTTTAGCTTGTGTTTGTGGATCTTCGAACGTAATGTCAAACATTTTCGAGAAGTTTTGGCCTAAATGGTGTGATGTTGCAGCCTGAAAAGCAAAGTATTAGCGGAAGAATTATTGATCGAATTGACTTACTTGAATACCACGTCCACTAGCAGCAATGTAACCTTCGATGGTTGTTGTCCAGTCAGCACCAGCAAATTTTTCTTTTTCTGTTTTACGTCCTTTAATTACTGGTATGGCTAATAAATCTGAATACACTCGAGCGTACAAGTCGAGAATTTGGTAAACTTCTTCGGAAGCTTCTTTCTCTGTTGCCCATGCTGTATGACCTTCTTGCCAGAGAAACTCTCGCGTACGAAGAAATGGTTGTGGATTTTTGAATTCCCATCTCTAGAAGAATTTTTTTTAAATTCAATAAATGATTTCGATTCTTCTACATACCACAACATTGTTCCATTGATTCAATTTCAATGGAAGATCTCGATGCGAACGAATCCATTTAGCATACGCTGGATACATAATTGTTTCACTTGTTGGACGCACAGCAATTGGTTGAGCCAATTCACTGTCACCTGATTTGGTTACCCAAGCAACCTGAAAGATCAATCAATGCGAAATTTCGTTAACTCTTTCAGCATCTTCATACTTCTGGTGAAAAATCAGCAATATGGGTTTGTTCACGATGAAGTGCACTATGTGAAACAAACAATGGAAAATAGCAATTTTGCACGCCCATAGCCGCGATTTCTTCATCGACAAAAGCTTGTATTTGTTCCCAAAGAAAATAAGCCCATGGACGAAGAATATAACATCCAGATACATCATAGTTTTCAATCAATTCGCCCTTACGGACAACCTGAAATAATCATGATAGTTATCCTGAGAACATATTCCGGCAATCGCGCAACTTACTTGTCCGTACCATTCGGCAAGATTTTCTTCCTTCTTGACTTCAATGCCAAGTCTAAACAGACAGTTTATCTAAACTATTTTAAGTAATTATCAGTACATACTTCGTTTGTTTTTTGACGTCTGATGAACCTGATCCAGCCGCTTGTTCATTGTCAGTTGACTTAGCAGCAGCAGGCTTCTTTTCTTTTTCTTTACGTGCCGGAGCTGCGCCAGTCGATGGAACATCAGTACCCGTTAGGGTTTTGTATTGCTCTTTTAATTTCAATAATTCTTGCACGGCAGCTGTGACTTCATCCTTAAAAGAAACGCAAATGGCGATGAGAACAGCTATCTGGTTAACGTACTTTATTCTGATTAGGATCACCTTTTAATTGACGAACAAGATTCGCTTGTCCGTCGATACGAGATTTTAACTTTTCGACATCAACGTTTTCGTTCGAACTCATCTTTCCCTCGAATGCGTCGAATGAAGAATATGTGAAATCGTATACGTGATCAGTGACGTGTATATATGAATACGAACCAATCTGTCGTTTTCTCTTTCGTATTCGAAACTTTTATTTTTGAATCTTTTTCCATTTTTATACTATCGCTAGAGATCGCTACTTCTCGGATACTATAACGACTAAGTATTTTAACTTACTTTTGGTGCCGATTTATTTGCTTTGAGTTCACGCACTTTATCTCCTTGTTTTGTTATGTTTTCGAGAAGCTGTTCAGTTTCTGCAGATGTCGCTGTCGTTGTTGCCGTAGCACCAGCAGCAGCGGTGGCTGGAGCTGATGCTGGTTTCTTATTTTCCTTTTGTGTTGAACTTGATGACGCTGATGCTGATGCTGATGCACTCGCTGGTTTATAATCAGCACCAGTTAACTTTTTGTATTTCTCTTTTAAGGCTAAAAGTTCTTTGACTGCGCCATCCACTTCGTCCTAATGAGAAAAAGTTCGTTTCTTCGTCTGGTTTCATTATACAAAATATATTTACTTTTGGTGACGATTTATTGCCTTTCAAATTTCGAACTTTTTCACCTTGCTGAGTAATCTGTTCGACTAATTTATCGGCTTCAGGACTTGATACTACGGCTGCTGCAGTTGCTCCTGCCGCAGCTTTTGATTTATCTCCGGAAGCATTTGGATCAGTCGATTTCAATGATGTTGGCTTTTCTTTAGTACCTCCGTCCGGAATATTCAGAAGAATACATGGTTGTTTATTATCAGCATTGTATGGACTGTCGCAGATATAATAACCTTTGCGAAGGATTTGAATAATATCTCCTTTCTTCAATTGAGCCATATCTGGTTCACCGATGACGTCATATTTAGACTAAAGTGAAGAAACAGAGAATAAAAGAAAATAGAAAGAAAGATGTTTCCTATACTTTTGATCCATAGTTAACGAAGTTCTCGAATGTATCGCCTTCATCGAGTTTTGCTTTTGTCATGATATTATCATAATGAATGCAGGTCACCGGTGTCAATGGTGCTTGACTTGTTTCAGCAAGCCATGTTAATTTGAGAGTATTCTTAAAATCTTTATTATCCAATTGAGTTTCACCTTCGATCAATTCGATTTCACCGGCATTGTTCCTGAACAAAAGAGACGATATGTTGTTCATTGCTTTTCTTCTTGTGTAAACTTACTTTTTAACATGATTAATCTTGATGTTACCCCAATTCATCAACGTAACAATCTGTCCGTCAGTGATTTGTACAGCATCATCCTTTTCAATCAGTACTGTTGGACCAGAATAGACATTCTTCATACCAATGCTTGGATCTTTTGGATGTTTTTGATGTTGATTACACTCTTCCTTCGTAACATTCTTCAAATGTAACTTGACTAGTTGATTTTTCAATAGAGCAGTATAACGTGGTGCTACAGGATCGATTTGTTTCTTATTGAATGCCCAGATCTTATCCCAGTCCATTAAAACGACTGATCGTGATGAACCTTGAGCGATGATAAATTGTCGAAGACCTTCAACAGTCATACCGCGACGAAGAATACCACGTACAGTTGGCAAACGTGGATCATTCCAACCATCGACAATTTTCTCATTGACAAACCATGTTAATTTACGTTTTGATAGCACTGTATATTGCATGTTCAAACGTGCATATTCATAAATAAATGGTTTGCGAAGACCTTAACAGAAATTTCTTTAAACTAAGCGGCAAATATATGTAGGTTGTGAACTATTTACCAAGAGCATCAAGAATCCAATAGTATTGCTCATCTCGATCATGATATTCAGTTGTTCGAAGTGCATGAGTAACTAAATAGATACTGATAAGTTAAAAAATAATTCTTGAACGTACTTTCACTAACCTCCTTCAACGCTATCAACAATTGGACAAGCAAAATCGTAAGTCGGATAAACCCTATGAAGAGAAAAACATACGACCCAGACAGACAAGACCCTTAAAAAAACGTGTAAAAACGCGTTGAAAATTCATTAACGCGTAAAAAAAACGGGAAAAGCGCACATTTTCAGGCACAAAAATGCGTTAAAAACTAAGTTTATACGCGTTTGTCTGCGTGAAAATATGCGTTTTTCCTGGTTTTTACGCGGTAATGGTTTAACCCGTAAAA